ATGCTTCACCGCCGCTAGGCGCCTATCCCTGTAAAGTCCTTTCTTCCTTCTTCAGCTTAGAATAGTCAATCGACAGCACCTCTACGTTGAACAAGCCTAGGGGCCAGCCCCTTACAGATCTAAATAGATAGACTATAATATTTCTTTTATAAACTATATAAATAGCTATTTTTAAATTATATTATTTATTGTCTTGTATTACTTTTTTATTTCTTAAAATATCTATACTATTTATATTAATGTTTAGCCTCTATCTATATATAGTTATTTATCTATTTGCTATTTAAATAATAATAATATAAGTATGTTTTATTAATAATAACATTTTTTTATAATATTCTTTATATTTTCTATTTTCTTAATAAAACTATAGTACTATGTATAAGTTTCTTTTTTATATTTCTCTTTACTAGGTATAATAATATATTGTTTTTAGTTTTTATAACTAGTAGTTTTTATTACTAAGAAATTAATAATTTAGGTTTATTAATAACCTCTTCTATTATATCTAAATTAAAAAATTACTATTATAACTTTATTTATAGATATATAAGAGTGTTAGAGATTTTATTATTTTTAAATATTAATTTCTTAAAGCTAGTATTAATAAGATATTTTTTAGTAATTAAAATAACATCATTATTTTTGAAATGTATTAGAGAATTAAACAAATTATTTTATTATTACTATAACAAATGTTTATAGCTTGGTGATATCTATAAATTAACTAATAATTATATTAACTTGTTACTAAATATTATAATACTTTGTATTCATAATAATGTATTATAATAATTCTTTTTAATTTAGTTTATTTTTTATTTTACTATTTTATTTATATAAATAAACTATTAATTTATATATTATAGATAACCTTTTTAAAGATATGTCTTCTTTTGTCTCTATAAACCTCTTTACTAAATATAAGCTTATTTATAATAACTTAATTATTCTTTTTAATACAAATACTATTTTTATTAAATAATAGTAATAAATTTAATTTTATGAATAGAAAATAAAAAAGAAAACATTAAAAGCTTTTAGTTTTTATTTAGTTTTAACACATATTTAAAAACATAAAATAAAATCTTTAGTAAAGGTTATAAATAAGTAGATATTTAAGCTAATTTTTATAAAAAAACAAAGGTTTAATATAGTATTCTCTATTTTATTTTTAATTTATATAATACTCTCTTCATTCATTTTAGTATAACTAACTTTGAAACTAACTTAATAAATAAGTGTTATTATAAGCTAGTATATATTAAAATAAACAATAATACTTCAATATCTTTTAGAACGTAATATAATAAAGAGTTAATCTATCCATAAATTATAACAATTATCTAAGTTATTTATATTAATTATCATAATAATCCTTACAATAACTATATTTTGCGTTTTAGTTTATTAGAAAAAGAAATAAATCTATTTAATTAAATAGAATATTTCTCTATTATTTTATTAATAATAATATTTCTTTTTAAACTCTATTGTAAAATTCATTTTTAAACTTTTTACCAACTTTATAAACTAAAAATAAATATTACTATTTTCTATAATAATAATTAAAAGTCTTAAAGCTAAGGTTTTAGCTATTTAGATAAAAGTGTTTAACAAAATTATTTTTAATTTAAACACATCTCTAATAATTAATACATAGATAATATTACATTAGAAATATATATTATTTAGTATTATAGCTTATTTTATAAATAAAAACTAAAAGTATTATTATATTTGTTTCAATATATTTAGGATTATAAGAAACTATATCATAGAGAATATAGCTAATATAATTATTAATACGTTTTAAAAGTTTTTAATACAAAATAGATTTAAACTTAATTATATTTCTATAGATAATACTTCTAATTTTAAACCTAAAGTCCTATCTAAATTATATAAGTTTATATTTAATAAAATATGACTAATAGTTATTTATATTTAATATTTTATTTATATTATTAACTTTATAGCTTAGAAACTACATAACTATTTTAAAGGTATTTATATATTTATAATAAGTAATTTTATATAATATATATTAAGTATTAATAATAAATAAGTTATTAAAGATATTAAATTATTATAATAAAGTTTAATAAAATAGTAAACTATTTCTATTTTCTAGAATAATAATTGTAAAGACTAGTTAGATAGTAAAACTTCTATTAATTAATATCTAAATAGAATATTAAACTTAAGAACCTAAATTAAAATAAAAGATATTTTAATATTTATAGTAATAATTATTAAAATAAACTATTTTATACTTAGAATTAAAGCTAGTTTAATATAATCTATATAATCTTTAAATCTCTAAAGAAATAATAAGAACAAAAACCTTAAAAGGCATTTCAAATATCTAATTATTAATATAAAGATATATTAAAACTTAATTATATTAATATTAATTTATATTTTTAAACTTTAAGCTTTAATTTAAACTTAATTTATAAAATATATTAACAATTATCTATTTAAACTAAAAGATATTAAATAATACTAAATTTAAGTTGTTTTTAATGTTTCTATATCTTTCTATTTTATTATATATACTTTAAGTTAAAACTAATTTACTAATACCATTTATATAATTATTATTATAAGAATCTATAATAAGTATTTGATAAAATATTTAAAAGTTATAAACAAACTTAATAATAATAAGAGTGTATTCTAAATATTAGCTTTGTTTAGAAATAATATGAATAGTGATAATAAAACTAAACAAATACTAACTATTATGAAAATAATAATAGTTTTGTTATATATTCTCACTATTTCTCTCTCTTTTATTAATATTAAACTTAGTAAATAATAGTTTAAAACTTTATAATATTTATGAAGCTTATTCTAGCTTATTAGAAATTTAGCTCAAATAAAGTTTATTTAAGTTTATACTAAGAAATATTATAAAGATATTTTATAAAGCTTTAAAATTAATTTAAATAAAGCTTATAGATCTATTTATAATCTAATAGCTTTAATACTCTAGAACTTTAAAAAATATATATTATTATATATTTAACATTATTATAATAATTTATTATAATAACTTATTATAATAATTATAATTATGATAACCTATAATAAGAATTAATATAATAATCTTTTTATAATTACTATATTAATATATTTCTTTAGAAATAAATAGATATTTTATCTTAAAAAGCAAATAATATTATTTATAACTTCTTAAAAAAACATACATATTATATTAGTTTTCTTTCTAAAAATATAACTACATCTATATAAAGCTATTCTACTAAATAATTAATTTAAACCTTCTAAAAAATACTAAAATTAGATCTTAAATATTATAATCTCTATAACATAGTTTATAACTATTTTATATTATTTTAAGTTTTATTTCTTTTAAATAGATATTTACCTTTAATTAATATATCTATTATTATATACATTTTAATATAAAACTTAAAATAAGTTTCATTTAAGTTTGTTTTATAATTTATAATAAATATTAAAACTAATTTTCTTTTCTCTTATTTAAAACTGTTTATCTTAGAAAACTTTATATTTTATAAACTAAATTAAACAAAAATATATTAATCTATTAAATATTTTCATATTAAAAATTCCTTTACTACTATTTATAAATTTATTATTAAATATACCTAAGATATTATTAATATTTTAAGTAATAATAATAATATTTAAAACTTAATAGAATTAAAGCTTTCAAATATAGAACTTATTAAACTATCTAGCTAAGTCTTAAATTTTATAAGTAAGTTAAACTAAACTTTTTAAATATTTTAATTTAGTTTATAAACATTATAATAAATGTTATAAAGTTATAAAACCTCTCTATTATTATTCAATCAGAAAAATAATAAAAACATAAAAACCTAATTAAATAACTAAAACAACTATAAAAAATAGATTATAGTAATTTCTTATTATTAGAAATTAGTAGTATATTATAATAATATAATTCATTTCCTCTGTAGTTTTAATATTTTAATTCAAACTTTCATTCCTCTCTAAATTTTCTTCAATATATTATATTTATAAAATAAACTATTACTTAAGACTTAAATTATAATTTCTATTTTACTTATATACTTAATACTTAAATAAAAAAGCCTTATCTATTATTTATACTTATTTAATATTTACCTAAATACCCCTCTATACTTATAGATTATATAAGTATATACCTGTATAGATATCTATAGATAGTTCGAAGCCTATGCGAAGTGAGTGTTACGGTCAGCTATCCGACAGTAGGGTCTGCTAACAGAAGCTGGGGATTGATACGTTCTAACAGTATACTGGGTCGTGGTCGTAGGTCGTAGTTCGTAGGCTGCAGTAGATCGGGTCTTCAGAGGCTAAGGTGATCAGTCTTAGACTCAACAAGTGATTCGCAGTGAAGGTAAGCTGAGAGTATCCGTGAGGATGAATACTAAGTTGATTGCTGAAGAGCTATGGGAGTCTGACCATGAGCCAGGCTCAGGGTCATACTATATACAAGTCTTCTTACATGAGCAGTCTCGCTGTTCCTGAGCGCTGTTACCCTTGTCATTATGAGCGCTCATTCTAGAGTGGGATGAGCGCTCATTCTAGTCTCCACTGAGCGCTCATTGTGGATCCCTTATCTATGCTCATTCCTTATCATCACGTGACCTGTACCATAGTTCTTCCGTTCCTGAGCGAGTCCCTGTTGTTCCCATGATCCTGCAGGGTACAAATGTCCTGTTCTAGCCGCCCGACGCCCAAGTGGGTCGGTCAACTGTTATTCATGCATAACGGGTCGTAACAGTGAGGACTTCTTCGCAAGTATAAATGATTCATACTAATTCATAACTGATTGAATCCGAGTACGGAGTCAGCCGTCTCAAGCTGCAGCCAGGTGTGGCGTGTAGGTAGAATATTCTGGCTGGTAGCATCGAGTGACATCATATTCGAACACCGTCAATAATCCACGTAAGAAGGTGAGGTGACTCGATCTCTCCAGCCCGTTGCATCAACTCCTAGACATCCCAGTTAGCCCAGACGAATTTGTTCTTGAGAAATCGAGCTTCGGGAGATGCTAGCCACACGCAAAAGTGACCAGGGAGTGCCGCTGTTGCGTAGGTTTGTCAGCAGGGTGAAGTCGTATTCATGCATTGGTGTACTTACGATCATCAGTCGTGTTGAAGGTAGTGCCTTGCGGGCTCAGCTCGGTTTCGATGACTCCCGGCTGAACGTTGACAACGTGAATGTCAGGATTCTCCGCCGCGAAAAAGTCCACAAGCTTGAGATTTGCTCCTTTGGTGACGCAGTAGCCCGAGAGTCCTGCCCACGGTTTAATGTGAGCCAGAGATGTCGAAATGTTCAGCACTATGGCGCCTCGGGCTGCATGGGGGACAAAAGCTTGCAAGGCGTGCAGCGTGGTGACCACGTTGAGCTTGAAACCCTCCATGTAGTCTTCCGCTCCTTGATGGACGACGCCGCCAACTTTAGGGAAGAACCCAGCATTAGAAACCAAGATGTCGATGTTTCCGACCGCTGATGAAATCTCATCAATAGCTGCGCAAGCTTCATCGCGAATTGAGAGATCCACTTTCTTGCAAAGAACTTGAGTTCCAAGCTTGGCGGTGCTGCGGATCTCTGCCACGGCGATCTCAAGGCGGTCGAGTCGTCGGCCGAGAATACAGATGGAGCTCGCACCAGCCTTAGCAAAAGAAAGGGCGATCGATTTTCCTATGCCGGTGCCGCCGCCAGTGATCACAACATTCTTGCCGGCTGCTGAGAGCTCAGGTCTAGAGGGAGAGATCAGGTCGTATGGTTTGTGGTGGTAAGTCTTGGTGAACGACATGAATTGTTGTTGGGAAGTGCTGCCCTCCGCCATGTTGGTGGTTGATCCTAGGATGGGACGCTGTTCTGACAACAATGTGGAACGACACAGAGCAAGGTGAATTGTATTGTATTTCTCTAGCTAACGCTACCACGAATCGGTTGGAGGTACGGATGCAGCGAATACGAAGTAATCTGAACTTTCGTCTCCAAGGACGTGTAAAATGTTTGGAGAAGCATTCAACAGAACAAGCCGCGCGGAAGACGGAAACAAGAATCTAGTGTGGAGCCGTAGTCTCTCTGACTCGACCGCAAAGTGTGGTGTGAACGGGCTTCAAAGGCCGAACCAGGAAGCTTCAAAAGCCGGCGCGAAGCCCTTTGACTCTCAAAGTGCGACGTGGTGATGGTGGTCATGGATTTGATAATGGTGCGCGGGGAGTAGGGAAGCCAAACATCTCCGATACCACGATCAATGGGACGCCAGCTGCGAGAGAAACCACAGCGTCTCCAGGCGAAAAAGAGTCGGTAGCGCGGGTCGTTGCAGTTGGATCTTGATTGACCCCAGGAGTCTGAGATGAGGCATTTGTACGTCTGCGCAATGGAAACAGGAGTAGAAAATCAAGTTCACTCATTGTACCAGAGTGGGAACTCTGGGTCTACACCGCAACGCGGTTTATAATCTCGCATTTCAATCTTTTGGACTAGGTATCTAAAATTCGAAGCCTTTGATTAAGGCAGTGGAAGAACTGTGTTTCGATGACGTGGATTTTTAAACAGGTGGTCAACACTAGGGATGAAATAAATGCTGCTTTGTAATGGAGCGACTAGGTGGTCGACGACGTGGAGTGTGTATTATTTCACAAACGTCAGAATGACCTGCCTCCCAGCATATACTCTGCGCAAGGTATGTTTTGGCAACCTTTTTGAGGGTCTGTTTACCACTTAGCGGATCACGCAGAGCTTATTTCTCTCCGTTCGCGACCGCTCTCATCTTGCTGGGAGTCCAAAGGCAAATCATTTAATCAGCGAAATGGGCGGGGAGACCGACAACCGTGTTTTCCGATTTTAGTTCGCACTAGATCTAAATAGGAAAACAATCTAAGTCTTGGCAAGACCTCAAGACGTGGGTCAGTGCTTCGTGTCGAAGGTCAATTCTGGATCGGCGGGAAGCCGTTATTCTTTCCGTAGCCCCTCCCCTTTGATTGTTTTCCTACTTTAGACATCAAGAAAAAAACGTCCGCTCCGTCTCGTCAAGCATCAGCAAGTTGAAACAAATTTGAAGCCTCCTGTACAAGCGGATACTTACGAAAAGTTTTACCCGTTCCGTTCGGTGTTCGCTAGCGCTCCAATCTCGATGGATTCGTCAAGAGCAGCCCTGCTCAAAGGTACGATTCTTTTCCAAATTCAGTTGCCCTCAATGAAGTTAGACTCACAGGCGAAGACACAAACAGAGAACTAGCATTTGTCGTGACGACTACGAATGAGACGCCCACAGAGAGAGATCGCAAGCTTATTCGAAGCCATGTAATGAAGGGGAAGAACACTCGCAAACGAATCAGTTTAGATCGGCAACAACTGCAGATCTCTACCATCGCTCTTGATGGAAAAGCCTTACAAGAGTTCCATCAAGAGAATATGAACCCTGAAGGAGATGGTGGGGCCTTCGGTGACACAGCTCCTGTCGGCGCTACACATTCCGTTTTAGTTCCTCCGCCTGCTAGCATCTTTGCTTTCGTCAATTTCACCGAAGATGTTGATATTCATGCCCGTCGAATGCTATGCACCTGTAGGTTGGGTCTTTTATAGGCGGTTGGCAATCAGTCGCTCTCATTAACGTGCTCTTCCTCCTAGATTACACCCACTTGAAGAACAACATGTACCCGATCGCAAAGTACTCTTACTCTGATATTAGCAACACATACTGGTTCCACTGGACCCAACTCGACCTGGCATATCTCCACGCTGTTCTCTACACTACGTCATTCTTTTTCGACACTCTGGCAGGTCAGAAGAGCGAAAGAACAAAGTACCACTTGTATCGAACAGTCAGTGAGCTTAACAGGCAGCTTAGCAATCCGAAGACTGCATTGACCGATTCCACAACCACTGTCGTCATGTTTATGGTTTTTGTTGCGGAGTGCTTCGGAGATATGGAGTGTGCCCACATACACATGATGGGGTTGAGAAAGATCATTGATCTCCGCGGCGGGTTGAAGTCGTATGACGAAAAGCCTCTACTCCAGGAAAAGTTGCGTCGGTAAGTATCAACCTCCCGTTCTCGCCACCTTCAGTAGAATCCCCAAAACAACGCTGACCAAATTGCGTGAAGGGCAGATTTGATCTACAGCATGTGCACTGGCTTCAAGCCGGGGTATTCGCAAAACATGGGGTCGTCCAAATACGAGGGCGAGCCTGTCGATGCCAAATCAGTTGATCAATCCTGCTTTTCTCGATCCCGCCATCTTACCCGCGAACTGGACAGGGGACTGCACAGGTGTTTCCAAGATATCCAGGTTCTATCGCAGCTGATAAACAGCAGTCACGGCAGTGGTGAAAAGCTTTCGGACATAGTTGTTGAGGGGTTTCTAACATCTATTCAGTCGCGGCTTCTCCTGCTTGATTTTCGTAACCATCACTGGAATCCCCTTGCAGAGATTCTCCGGCTGTCGCTTCACGCTTATTTGACAACCGTCTTCTGGAACTTTCCTGGTCTGAAAACTCAGTATCCATATATAGCTGCTCAATTTCGCAAAGCTTGTCTCATATTCTCGCCCGCTAATACTGGAGAAAGCTTTCTCTTTGCTTGGGCATTGATGGTCGGCGCGGTATCGTTGTTCCATGGCCAAGATCAAGAGTGGCTAATGGAAAGGCTCTATCCACTGATGGAGAACACTTTAGGTATCATGTGGCTTGAGGTCAAATGCAGTCTATGTCAGGTGATGTGGATTGAAAGTCTTCACGATGGTCCGGGCATTGAAGTCTTCAGTCGATACGTCAGAGAGAGGAAAGGTGGAAGTGCTGGCATCACGTCTGCAAACTGGGATGCACCTGCGGTGGGAAAGTAAGCAATTCGATCATTTAGGGTTGACAGATGAGGTTTGCTGAATAGGACAAGTTCATTACAAAGGCCATTGGACACAGAAGTTCAAGACACAAGTCATCTTTGTCAGTTCACGTGAATCATGATTCAGCGATTCCCGAAGGTGAGCCGGCTAGAAGGATGAAGTGGTAGAGCTTTATTCAGAAGCATATCTTGGGTCTGAAGTAGATCAAGGGACGACAAATTTATCTCAAGCTACATCTATGTGAGGCCTCTGAAACGCATTTCAGCGTCAAGTTGGCTGCCCTTTCCGCTTCAGGCTTTCAGCTCCTTCATAGGTTCAGGTGGGTCTTGAAGAAGTCGGTCACATTTGCAACCGAGGGAGCGACGTAAGGTTCCAAGTCGTAGAAATCCATGTGGCGCCCGCCTGGAACCAAGATCTTTACTGCATTCGGGTTGGTATTCTTGATCTTCTCGTAAACATCGTCGGTTCCCCAGCGGCTATCGGCATCCTCCCCGGCGATTAGTATGGTTGGCTGCGAGAGAAGCTGGTCTGCCAAGTGCCAGGCGTCGAAACGGTAAATCAGAGGGATAGAAGCGGGGTGCATGCGGTTCTCGGACGTGTTGAAAAAGCCGCGAGGGTTCCGGTAGTAGTCCCACGCATCGACCAGGTCAGGGGGGGTGTCGGCTTGGGGAGGGTCGGGAACGTACTGCAGGTAGGTAATGTTGCCACCCGCAGCGATGTCTTGAATAGTTTCAGCGGCCGACTCAACCGCAGATAAAGCGTCCGATGTATTTAGAGTGTTGAGCCACCCCTGGCGGTTGGTGTCGCCAATGTTGACTAGGCTGATTGCAGCTACTGCCTTGATGCGGTGATCAGTAGCTGCTGCGGCAATTCCGTACCCGCCACCCGCGCAGATTCCGAGAACTGCGATGGCACCTGGGTCGACATAATCGAGAGTTTGCAAGTAATCCACGACAGCGGAGACGTCAGAAACCCTGGAGCCCGGGTCTTCTAGGTAGTGAGGGCTGCCCTCAGACTGCCCTTGGTACAGCGCGTCGAAGGCAACAGACACGAACCCCTGCTGAGACATACGCTCCGCATAGAGGCTGGCAGTTTGCTCCTTGACGCCGCCGCCAGGGTGAACAACGACGAGACCTGGAGCCTTGGCTGAGGCTGTCTCCGGCCGATGGAGGAGACCGGCCAAATGAAGACTGCCTTTGGCGATGCGGATAAGAGACATGTTTCGGGATTGTTGTTGGACTTAAAGATTTTAATTTTTAGATCATAGATCGAAGACGTGAGGTGATTGGAACAGGCTCTGATTCATGCTGTGAGGCAGTTTGTTGCCTTTCTTAAGTACTGCAGAGATCAGCGACCTTCCCCTGAGACTCAAATCGATGTCCACGAGGGCTAGGTGGCTTAGACGATATCTCGAAATTGCCAAGGTGATAGCAACCACCGTATTGTTTTCCTCACTCGGACGGCATGTAGCCAAGAATTACAATATCGTCATCTTCTTGGCTTTGCTGATAAATTCTGCAGGTCAAGAATGACACTCCACAGCTTTATGGAGCGCAAGAGTGCTCGGTATTGGTTCGGAGACATTGTGATTAGGTGGCGCCTTCACAAGACATAACACTGCACATGCTCCCAATCGTAAGTATCGGCATGATCCGCAACACGATGGGGTCCGTAACTTAGTATTCAAACTTGACTTTGCGTCTGATATCCTTACTTCCGCTATGTCCGCCAATTCTCCCCGAAGTCCGCTGACCCGGCCAAAGTGACTTCAGTTTCCCAAGGCCGTAGTAACCGTAACTTCGCAGGATTTCAAATCAGTTGTTTGACGCGTTGCTATTTAAGGCCGTTTGATGGCGGATGATTGACCATGACCTTCGTTGCTCCATCTCCGTAAGACATACAACAACCAGTTAGCAAACGCACTCGATTCATCATGGCACCTCTCGTTTGGCTCATCACCGGAAGCACCTCGGGCTTCGGCGCTGAGTTT